ATCACAGCAACGAACTCGCCCGTATAACTTAAGAAGCAGAGAGGCCTGACAACATTTTCTTTACCGGGGGAGAACGTCGTGTATAACACTCTTTGTCTACTGCATATCGCTGTATTCATAACATTTCTCTTTTATACGTTTTAGACTATATGCCAGGATTGCTATACGAATAAAGCCTTACATCTCTGGGCTCTCAATCTTCTTCTCTTTCTCCCGAGCAACTACCGATTGTTGTCATCTCGTATTTAGTACATAACACCCATACAATTATTGAACGGGTTATGGGTTATGCTGATTCTCGAAAATGATTTGGTTAGTTAGTCACAGAGGGCACTTTTCTGTGTACGCCACTTCGCTGTCCACACTCCTCACCACCTTGAGTAGCAATCTCACCTCGACAGTGACCGAAACTCGTAAAACAGCCCACCCAGATAGATTTCGATGACAAAATTAATAGAAGAAAAAGAAGAGATCACAACCGAAGATTTGTATTCCCGGAGAATCACGGCTTAGTGAACAGGACAAGCGATTGGTACGGTATTTTACACTGCACGAGTGGATCCAAACTTTGCCACGGTAGAGTGGAGTGGGGGAAGAGTGATCAGCCGACCGAATGAACAATCGACCAGGCCGAGAGAACAGGTCCGATTTGCGGTGCACAACGGGGTCGGAAGATGTGCTCTAATGGAGGTGTGATGAGTGAGCGCCAGCTAGCATGAACAAATCAGAACAGAGCGAAAAAAACCTGGGAAAATAGGCAAACAGCGCGAGCAAAACGTTGTCTCAAGTAGACACGCCGAAGGGGAACTAGGATAAAGTGATTGACTGATTGATTGATCGATTGATTGTACGGGAGATAAGCTAACACAACAAATCAGAAAAAATAGGAATTTCCGAAGTATAACATGGAATAACCATAATGTACAAAAGAGAGAGATTAACAACACCACAAGTCATCTAGAACCAGCTGCTCATCAATTAACAGACAAGAACAGATGAACACGATGTGCGGGGTGTGTGTGACATACAAGCAGCTGCACTTAGTCCACTTTACCCATTTCCTCCTTGCTCGCTTTCAGACGACCAGCTGTCACAGAAGACGATTTGG